CAGTGGCCAGCTTCCTATTGGTCTCGCGGATCGGAGTGGGTTGCGGTAAGTGGCTTCATCGTGATTGGGTGACCTGGTTCGTTGACCTGATTTAGGGTCTAACTTCAGTAGGACTGCAGAGATTTGCTCCGATAGTCACAAAATCGTTTCGATCCTTTCAGGCTCTGATGAAGGCGGTTTCGGCGAATGAGCCGAATAAAGTGGTACATCAACCTCGCGAGAGTTTTTACAGAGGAAAATGTACAGTACTACAACTATGCCGAGGTTTATTGAGAGCCGTACACGGCGCCATTCAGTTTTCGCATTGGGGGCGATGGTGCCGTTGAGCGGACTCATCCACGGGGACCTTCACTAACTCGACTCGACTCGACTAATTCATTTACTGGTGAACGGTCATTTGGTGAAGAAAAGATACGCAAAATTTTAGACACCACTGTTTTATTAATCTCTTCTTGGTTACTTTCAATTCGGTGTCCTTGGTCCAAATTTGCAACATCAAAACCATTTTTCTAAAAAAGGTTCAAACAACCTATTAAAGTGAAATCTAATTAGTAATACTAGTGTTCGGTAATAGATACACATTGAAAATAAACTCAAATAAAACCTAATTAACACCTAATCAATAGCAACAACTATAACCATACCTACTATATAATTATACTTACCTGTTCCATGCCGGTTCCACTTGATTCTGCAAATAAAAAAAAACAGTTCACCAATAATACTATACGGATATCGATGATAACAATAAACGATATCGATAACCTGAAAAGTCATATCAGTATCAACAAAAAAGATTGCAAATAATAGTTCGCTTTATCACATTGGGGTAATTGCCTTGAAACTAAAAGAAAAGTCACAACCGGATAATGAATTATAGAATAAAGGTTCTATGTGAAATTTACCAAGATAATGTAGCACACAATGGGAAAAGAATGATTAGAGAAAAAGCAAATTACAATACAATAGGCAAAAGGCATGGGGTTAGATAGGCAGCTGAGATACGCAGCCAAGTTAATGGAGATATTGCAGTGCATATCCAGTTTGTTCAATAGTGTTACGTAATCTATACTACACTAATTAGTTGATACAAAACAAAAGTTTGATAAACAGCCGAAATATGTTACCAAATCAAAAGTGATATGCCGCCGCTTCTCAACTTGTCTGAAACATTACGTAATCTACGTAACAGTTGCAAAACAAGGATTTGATAAACAGTCGAGCTAATTGAACAAGTCAATGGTGATATTTCAGCGCATCTCCTGCTTGTTTAAGGGGTTACGTAATCTAGGCAACGGCTAATTGTTGATGCAAAGACATGTTTGATTGGCAGCAAAGATACGCAGCCAAATCATAAAGGATGTTAAGGCGCCTCTATAGTTGTCCAAGAGTTCATGTAATCTATATAACAGTCAATGTAGAAGTAGAATAAGGTTTGATAGGCAGACAATATACGTAAACAAATTAATGATGATTCAACGTGTCTCTTCATGTCCAAGGGGTAACCCAGTTTATGAAGGGGTTGATTGTCGATGCAAAGCTGCAACTTTTCGTTGGCGTGATGATATGTAAAATTAGGTGGTACCAATGTGTTAAAAGCGAATAGGTGAATAATTGAAATTGCAGTGTACTGAGGTATGGTGTTAAGTTTAGTGGTAGTCCACTGTTGTACTGAGAGAACAGTTAGTTCAAAAGGTGTAAGAAGGTGTTATTCAAGTATAAGAAATCGTAGCAAATTTAGGCCCAACTGACAGAATATGAACATAATCTGGACAAGACCATATTCCTATGACAAGATAGATCAACTTACATAAAGATCACTAAATGACATTAATGGGTAATAATTCACTTTACATTATAAGAACCAGAACATAACTTTCTTTGATAATATAGAAAACTTTGCAACCTTTGTTAATAATAACTGGCCTCCCATTTTTCTTTCTTTT